AAAAAAAAAAAAAATCTGAAGCCATACAAACTCCATTTGCTTGGCTTAATGAAGTGTGATATAACTTTTTAAATTTAATAGTAAGAATTCTGAAAAAATAACTGAAAATAGAGCAGAAAAATGAAGCAAAACATTAATAAGCACTAACAAAAAGCAGACATAAAACTAAACTCAAATCAGTTATTTTGCAGAATAGAAATGGGTATTCTCTGGTAACCTAGAAACATACAGATTCCTGTTGGAAACCAACAAAAAGGAAAACACCAGTATAATAGCTGATAACTGTGTCTCATGTTGTGGAAACTGCCATTGGCATGTCACATCCATAATTTAAAATAAATCTGGACTGGGTAGAGAATTTAAAGAAATAGCAAGACTTCTCAGCATGTCTGAGACCTCCATGCTTCAGAGTCCTCCCAGAGAATAGGACAAAGGGTATTATTAGAATGGAGCCTACAAACAAAGCACAAACCCTCAAATACAACCAGCTTGGATGAACCTACATTGTCAGCCACATTCAGAAACACCATGTTTACCAGAAAGAGCAAAACGAACTACAAATCACGATGAAACTATGTGAAAGCAGACAGCCCTAAGCTGCCTCACTACGTTTTTGTAGAAAGTCAAGCATTTTACAAAAGTAATTATTGTGCAAGCATGGGGAAGGGACTAGATGACAAATGAGCTTTCTGTCTGCAGAACCACAGCTTCAGATGTTTGATGTCCTATGAGACCAGAACCTAGTGGCTGTCACACTGCTGAAGGTCACAAAACCAAAACAGTTCAGAAAACACTAGTGATCATAAAACAGATTCTGTAACATGCAAAGTGAGATGGCATCACAACTATAGCTCATAGACATTTGCTACAAGTTGCATAAACATCAGCAGAATCTTTTAAGGAAGTAGATTCTAAGTAGCAAAAAAGTGAAGTGTGCCACAATACTGTTTCTTTTTGTGCAACTGTATAAAATTTTAATTTCATAAAATAAAACATGATATTTGTCTCAAAATTAAAATCAGAAACTAAACACAAACCCAAAACCCCAACCATATGGCCAATTTAAAAAAAGAATTTTCTCTTGAGGGTATAAAGAGGACTCTCATATTGTACAACATTCAGGTGAGATTTCTTGCTACATGGATAGACTTTTACTGAAGTTTTAGCCTTAGAAATATTCCTTCATTTCAAGCTTGAAGCTTTTCTGGAATTTGAAAATACACATATTTCAGATTCAAGGACTACAATACTCCACACTGCGCACAAGGTTGAAGTCTAAATGACAGTTTTTGGAGTGACTAAATACAAATTGAAAACAAAAACAAAAAAAACAAAACAAAACAAACAAACAAAAAAACCCACCAAAATTAATCACAGGAAACTTGTTTTAACTCCATAAATGCACTGGAGCCTGACGACATCACCCTCTACTGTCTCCAAAACGGCTCAGTAGTGCCGTTATCACATAAAATACTGAGGAGCAATAATTAACTTTCCGTATTTAATTTTTAATTGCTCAATTTTAATATTTTAATCTGTATCTGCTGACAGAAAGACAACCATGTAGCTGTAGGAAGGATTGTGCTAAAGTTCAGTCAAATGAGAGATCACCTATATATGTGAAAAACCATAGTACAATTATGAAGTTGGGCTGTACAAAAACAACACGTGTCTCATGAAAGGAAATACTGAGAACCAAAAGAAGCAGCGAAGTTAAAAACAATCACTGAAATTGTTTACTACACAACGAAAGGATGTCAGAAAAATCTGAACAACTTCAAACTGACTGAGACAAAAACTATTAAAATTTAAAAGTTCACAGTAACTTCTACAAACATATTTAAATATTTAATCTGTCAATGTACCTAAAGTATACTCAAACAGAATTCTACAGGAATACGCCTCCAAAATGTGTGAGGACAAACTGTCTCTCCTTTATAGTATCCAAATGGAAGGAACAACAACAAGTACCAATAGCTGTGCCACTGCATTATTAACACAGCACTGAACCAAACAAAAACACCCTGACAATCTGCAGAACTTGTGTCTCAGGCCTGACACTGTGTCAGTGTAACAGCAGGCAGAGTTCACACAGAGCAAGTTTACTCATGATGCCACACAATGCCCCATGCAGATATAAAGAAATCACACAAAGAACAGAAAGACAACTTGCTCTTAAAAATCCATCTCAGTTTCTGCCCTTAGAGCAGAGACACCTGGATACAAGAAGGAAAGACATAACAGGGATTATTTTAAAACCAGCCATTACTGTTCTGTCAGCTATACCTTTTCTGCAGAAGAGGTTCCTGAATGTTCCACGCAGGTAGGTGCAGCTTCTGCCATGCATTTCCAGATGCAGACTGTAGTCATGCAGTCCATATTCTGGGTCAATATCATCGAACGCAGGTTTATTAAGTGGAGGGGCATATCGACTTTAAAAAAAGATAACAGTATGATTAAGCAAGGGGAAATTACTTAAGAGAAGGAGATATAATACACAGCCCTACATTTAGACTATCATCTTCAGAGAGTTTTGAAATCAAACATCTCTAGTTTATCACACTTCTTTTAAGCTACCTTCTACAACACCTAATACTTCTAATCAGGTGTTCAGCAAAGCCAGAAAATAATGGCAGTCAGCTTTAAAAGGTGTCTGTTAAACTCCAAAATATGGACTTGTCTCCAAAAATGAAAAAAGCATCAGCTTAAGTGCAAATCTAAAAGCCCACTAACTAGAGAGTTCTCTAAAATAGCAATTACTGGGATAATTTCGTCTGTGCCTAATCAAAAGAAAAACTACTCCACACAAATTACCTGAAGAGACCAAACGCCAGAGGCAACTGAACTTCTACTTAGGATCCTATTTAGTGCTATGGGAGATGGTGTTAAATCTTACCTTCTGTGCTAAAAAGAGCCACACTAGGTTATAGGGGGCGCATAGGACCACCACTAGATACAACAGTATCTGAACAGAAAGCTGAGGGGAAAATAAATTCTCCAAATATTGTTGTAAAGCTAACAAACTCCATCCGTTTAAACAGTTTACAGTGTACAAACAGGTATTGTATTATATTATACGCTACAATACACACATATACACAAATACCTCATAAGAAATCCAGCTAATTTCCCAAGAGGACTGAAAGATAAATGCAGACACCTTACCAGTTTATCAGAACTTTTTTCTCCCCTCTTACACAGCTAAAGATTACTGTCCTACTTCCTAAAATGTTTTTCTCTTTTCTTGGTCTTTTAGATTGGAAGAGGGAATAGAAAGACTACTTGTGAAAAGGGAGGAAGTATTGGCAGTGTATTTCTAACCTTCTCAATACAGCAAGTACTAGCACACTTGTAAAACTAACTTATCTCCTTAGTAACATAACAATTGCAACATTTTAGTATGAAAATGCTTCTATAGTCTTGTATAGAGTTACTGTAACTTGTTTATATTAAACAAGAATATTGCCTAAATATAAACCTCCTACCAGCAGCCCATTTTAACTGTAACACTCAAAGCTTTATTCAAAAGGTTATCTTTATTACCCACAAAGAAGAAACCAAACTTACACAGTAGCAGAACCCAGAATGCTTCTCTCAAGAAGTTGATGATAATGAAGACTCACCATAACGAAAGCAATTTCATTTTTCTCCTGAAAAGTTAATTAAAGTAGATGTATTTTCATCTGAAAATGCTTTTTTTCTACAAAGTCTTTCTGAGCATTAAAATTCATAGATAAATGCTGCTGCTTATTACTCTGCCTTTTTCTGTAATAATGTTAATAATAGCTTAAGCGCTTTAACACTTGGCCTCCTACAACTGCTAGTGTCTTTTCACAAGAGCACAGAATACATATAAAAGATTACAGCATTTCTATATTAGGGGGGAAGAGAGGGAAACTAGCTATATTAGGGCAAAAGTTATCAGACAAACCCATGATTTTTACTCCTCTAGCCTCTACTTACCACTGTAAAGCGGATACCTAAACAGACTCAAACAGGACTTACCCCCATCTACTGAATACCTAAGCATCAAGTTTATTTTCATATGTAAGGAACTATTTGCAAAGAGAGCTAACATCACTGAGGAATACAGAATTATTCAACAGAAATGGTAAATTTCAAAGTAAAACCTCAGGTGTCTTCACCAGATTACATACTCCCGGGAAAATGTTAAGACATAACTCTCTATTGGCTTAACATCGTTCAAAGAAAACATCAGAGCTCAACGTGAGAACTAAATACAGACAAAGGTATCTATTTAGTTCAAGAATATAGAATGCTAGGATTTCAGCTCTTTCTTTTTTTTTAAAGTCCCACATTTGCAAACACCTAAGTCAATAGTAAAACTATTCAGAGCCAGCAGTCTACTACCGTCCTGAAATGTGGGCAACTATTATTTTTATCTCTGGGTTACCAGAAAATTACATCCTCTGTTTGAGCTTTTGGGTTCTCAACTACTTCTGTACTTTCGTAGTGCAAAATTACAGCTCTAAAAGATACAATAACTGAGATTTACCAATCACAGAGTCTCTCACTCTTTCTCTATCCAAATATCAGAAGGCCCACATAACTTGTCCTAGGTTGCCAAAACTGCCAGCATCAACAGTTTCTGCAATGCAGCTGAGCTATGTGTAAAACGCCAAGACATGCAGCATTTGTGATTCCTACACCCATTTACAGTTAACCGCCTACACAGAGAATAAGAACTGCTGTTCAGAAAAACTCCTGGAGTGAGGCACTTGATGCTGAACAACTGTGTGGAACTTGGTTATGACTGAACCATTTCCAGGTGCTGAAAGAGTTGTGTTTCCAAGCATGGGAGGGGGCAATGCACTAGCAAGACTACAGGGACAATGACACGGGGACAACAACCTAGTAAAGCTCTGAAGACACAAAAGAAATTGTTGTTCATTTATCGGAGCCCTCCATAGACCAAGACAACCCGTAACAGGCTTATGCAGGTCAGCCAGTCTCAAGTTTTCTAGGAAATGGACTTTCACTCCTATCTCTATGTAAAAGAAATATTCCTACTCTGGTTTTAAATGCCTCTGGTGATTGTGCACATTTGAGGTAGCACATTTCCAGCTGGAAATTAGACACAGCTTTGAGCAACTGCTCACAGGCTTCCTGAGGGAATTTCCTTGCCAGTGCCAAGTAATGTAAGTCCACATCAGTAACATGGCTGAGGGAGGAAGAAAAGGCTGTCACCTCTGAAATCAGACCAAGCACAGAATCCCTGAGATAGGATTCCACAGCATCTAGCCCAATGTAACTCCAGTCACTAAGGTCCAGCATATTCTCTGCAGAGATACAGATTCCTTTCGTGTACAATTCTACTTCAGATGTTCTGCACTGCTCTCTAAAGACATTCATCTCTACACACAGCCTACAGAGACTAACTGCTTTACTTAGACCCTTAATAGCAAGAATTTAATAGCCCCAAAAGGGCATGATTTACAGCATTCCTACTGCTGGCACAGGATATGGCTACCTGGTGATGTAGATTAAAGCTAAGTTGCCTTGCGGGGACTCATCGCTTTGAGTGATGGGGACAGGGCATGGCATGAATCAGGGGAAGAAGCACACCTCTCCTCAAACCATTCTATTTAAAATGACTCCAGGATACCGAACTTTGGTGTGTGAAGACTGCAAAGTAAATAAAACTGAACACAGTATCTAATAGAGTATGAAAAAAATTGATTTTCTAATTAGAGGTGGATTTTTTTAAACAATACAGATATTCCTGTGACAGCTCTTTAGAAAACAATAAATAATAAACTAGTTGTTCCTACCTGCATTTTCTTGTTACTAGGTTAGACAAGATCTTCCAAAATGCAAAGGGAAAAAAAAAAAAAAAAGAAAAAAAAAAGATAAAAAAAACCCTAGAAATCTTCCCGAAACTACAAGGCAAAAATATATATTCCTTCAAGTCATAATAAAATACTGAAACAAAATTTAATGTTATCTTACCTTCCAAATTCCTACTAAGAGTCCTGGATTCAGACTGAAGAGCTGAACAAGGCTATCACCACCAACTGCTACACTGCTTTCAGTCAGGTTAGCAAGATGGTATTCAGCAATTAAGGAACGTCTTCGAGGTCTTTGAACAGAACATAAATATAGCAAAAAGGCTACATCTCCTTATTTATGTTAAAGTTCAACATAATTTCATTTTTAACTCTGAAATCTGACCAACAACATAAAATGGAAATGGTTTGAGCATGCATAGTCATAAACTGTATGTTCAAACAGCTACAGTGTAGTAGAAAGATCTCAATCCCTAACAAGAAAAGAAACAAAAACACCATAAGATGTTCTAATATCCTCTTAAAAATGAAGAAAAACTTACGTGCTAGCCCAATTTTTCAAAACACCCACAGAATTACTTTATAATTTGTTTTTAATACTATGATGGTACTAAATGTTGGTCAGATTTCAGTTTTTGAACAGAACATAAATATAGCAAATTCTTCCTCCATTTTTTCTACATTTTTCCTGTAATTAAAGATATTTTATATATCTTTTTATGTCTTCACTTCGTATAAAATCCATAACACCCTTTAACTAAAGCTCAGACTTTACAGACATTAACTAATGATGCACTAAAAAAAAAAAAAGACCAGAAAGCAGAGTCTGTGTTACCTACTCAGAATGGAGAAAAAAGTCTTTCTAAAACCCTTTGTAGACTTGGGCTCTTATTATTTTCAAAACAGTTCTTAGATTTACCAATAGAATCACTGTAGTATCACCTACCACACACTGCTGGGAAGACAGCAACCAACAGGAACTTTATCACATTACCTTGAATTGTAATATCTGGGGCAGTGACAGGACATCACAGAATCGCAGACAGAATGTTAAGGTCCTTAAAGAATTATCTAGAATGGTCCTTAAAGATCATCTAGTCCCAAGCCCCCTGCAGTAGCTAAGGACACCTCCCAGTAGACCAGTTCACTCAAGGCCTTATCCAGCCTGGCTTTGAACACTGCCAGGGCTGAGGCATCCTCAACCTCCCTGGGCAACCTCTTCCAGTGTCTTGTCACCCTCACAGTAAAGAATTTCTTCCTAATCAACATCAACACTTTTAATCTCTAAGTCAATCAGGCTCATGTCAAAACAAGAATATTCCCAAAGTCCCTGCACTAGCTCCTTACAGTCTTAACACTGACATTCTGAAACTGGTAAAGCTACTATCTTCATGTATATTCACAAGTTCTAAAAACTTAACCTGTGAAATAAATACACCAACTGCCTGCAAGTTTTCTTTTACTATTTTCTGCATATGAATCATCATATTGGTAAATCAACTATATTTCCCATATAGTTTGACTGCAAGACTTGTTCAGTTGACATTAAACAAAAGGCTTCTCTTGATTTATTTATTTCTTAAGCAAATACTTTGCTGTTGCTTGAGGAACCAGGTTTTTTGTAGGTGAACAGTTCGCTCTTTTCAAAGCTCTTTTCATGGCTAGGGGCTTTCTGTAAGAAACATGTAGTTGATACTGCACATAGAATACACATAGACCCGGACATGTTCAAAACTCCTTGACAGCAAGCAAATACCTCAAATACTTTCCATTTAAATATCTTTTCTCAGAATATAATTCCAGAAAAACATTGTGCAACTTAAGTTACAAAATAACAGATATGCTGTGGACTGTTTTTTTAAAAGCATGTACTTAGATTGCACTCACAGTTACACACCAAGTTCCCTAAATTCACACACCTATCACACACCTATCACACACCTATCAGACAGAAAATAAATGTTAACATAGATTACATGACTGTAGCCCTATAAATACTGATGAGCTGTTCCAAGCTAAAGGTCTTACATTAAATTCTCCTCGATTTACATGTTTCTTTCACACACATTTGTATCTATGCCACAGATTCAGCTTTCCAAGGCAGGACCCATCACTCTTTATAACACGTGCCAATAGCTGCATTAACCTATGAATTAATGTCATAGCTTGTTGGATTATACTATTTCTTGTTAAAAAGCTCTACTTATGAAGAAGAACATAGGCTTTGGAAGAAATGCTACAGAGAGGTTTTCTAACAAAGAACTAACTTATTGAGTCAAACCAAGGTCAGATAGCTCCTACAATATGTTATCAATTGGCTACACCAAAAAAACCCTCAAAAATCCTATGTTAAAACTCACCCATTCTTGCTGGGAGGTCTGCTTTGGTCAAGAAGCAGCGGCGTAACTCCAAATAGTTTTAGGGTTGACACAACATCTAAGCATGGCCAGTTTGTACTATACCAAAGTATGGTAACAGATGTGTCCTTAAATGACAGGCTTGCCTTCTCCACTACATGTTCTTTTCCATTTTTTTCTTTTAGAACAATTATCCAACTCAAGCCCGAGACTCTGTTATTTAGGTATTGAGAGGGGAGAGGGATATTAAAAAAAAAAAAAAAAATCCCAAAACTTAAACTATGCTTTCAAGGTAATTTTCAAATTTCTACTAGCTGTGCTTATGTTTCTCAGACTCAGTCATTTATAGGCTATCATATCTTCTCATTATAACACACGTTATAGCTCTCTTTCCATACCCCCTCCCAGCATTTCCAAAGCCATTAATATTCTGTACATTGTTCTTGAGTAAACCACTTCTGTGACAAGGAATTGCTTACTTCATAGCTTCTTTGTTTTTAAATGGAAGACCCGTATAAGGATCTAGAGGTTTAGCAAGTCGCATTACTCTAGTTTTGACAGCAGCTGTTTGTTTCAAGATGTATTCTTTCTTCCAGTACCCAGGCTTTTTATCATGCAGAGCAGCACAGCCCAAGGGAACAGCTTCTGTTTGTTCAGACTTCATTTTCCAAATTGTCCTTTTTGGCTGCAAACAACTGGAATAGATTTTCAGCCAAATTCCACTGAAAATAAAAATAGAATAAAGAGGAAAACCACATACATTTCAAGTATAGTCAATTTTTTATACTCACATCTTGTCTATGCTTGAGCATAATGTTAGCAGAAAAACATGAAGCCCCAGATTATCAGCAAACTATATTTGATCTAAATCTACGTTTCTAGAAGAGCAGAAACTGGAGCCTCCTAGCTGTGAGTCAAAATACAAGGTCATGGTTGTACATTTTTTCTCATTTTGACCTTCCAAAAGCCCATATAAGGTCAGGTTCCCAGATGAAAACATGAAGGCTCAGGAACCCAAGGATGCTAAATGTCAGCATTTCTCATGGGCTTACTAGGCTACCTAAAAGACTGTGGAATCTCAGAACACATTTCTTGTTCTAGATTATACATACCAAATGAAATCCACTTAAAGCTTTCTGCTCTAACATAGAGGGAAAAAAAGAAAAAGCTATTCAGTTAATTCAATCAGTTTGATAAAAATCTCAACTACATGCACAGAAAATGTCTGACTAGTGCTCTAGAAAGCAGACTAATTGGATATTGAGAACTTCCCACTGGTTTACATCTCTCAATAGCACACCAGAGCATGTGGTTTTCAAAAAGCCTTCCTTCCCCTTATGCTGCTACTTCCTTCACAGATATTCACTGAACAGATTTAAAAATAATAAAAAAAAAA